GCCAAGGGGACCCTCAGCTCCTTCCCCTCCCACGTGGGACAGGCCTGAGCCAAAGGCTCTTTGGTTATAGAAGATTGGCTTGAGTGAGGAGGCTGGCGGAGGGGCGCGGGGGCAGGGAGGGACCCTGGGGTCTGAGAAACTCCCCTCGTCTGGATGTGGGGGAGCGCCTGGACCACCCTCGCCAGCCCCAGTGGATTGGGAAGGCAGTTCTGGGGGTGAGAGGACGCTTCCCAGGGGGCTGCGGGAAGCCGTGCTGCGGCGGGGGGCGGTGGGCCCAGCTGCCATGCGGTGGGGTAAGACAGGGCCAGCCTCGGTCAGCTAGGGCGAGGGGAGCCCCGGTGCCCAGTTCGCAGCAGCCCCTGCTCTGGTGAGAGAGTCTGCGGTGGGCAGACCCCTGGGCTTATTGCCCCTTGGGGATGAAGGGCTCGCCCTCCCCTGGCTCAGGGTGGGGGCCCGGGTCACTGAGGCAGCGCTGTATTCTCTGGGAGTTGGGGCTGTCGCTGGGCCCAGGGGTGAAGACGTCGTCAGTGCCCGGCGACGAGGGCTCTTTGGACCGCATCACAAGGCCGTCATCGTCCTCGTCGTCCTCGGCCACGCTCACTGGATTCCGGCTCAGCCCCAGGACCTTGCCCTTCAGTTCCTCGTTGACCAGGTCCACAGACTCGGGCGACTGGGGCGAGGCTGGGTCGATGGTGATCACGGGCAGATCTGCCTTTGGCTCATAGGCCAGGGGGTCTGGGGACCAAGAAGAGCAAGACGTGGGCTCATTTGTGGCCCCGACTCCAGCCTGCCTGGCCTCGTCACAGAACCTTCCTGTGAGCCCGGTGGCCTGACACGCTCGGCATGACTTCCCCGGGGGTCTCAGAGGTAGGAAGGGCTGTGTGCCCCTCCTCAGAGCACAGGCTCCCATGGCAGGTCCCCGTCAGATGAAGAAGTGGGTCTAGGCCTGCCCCCACAGATGCTACGCGGGCCCAGCTCCGGCCTGCATAGCCCTGTGCCCTGGGCCATCCTCCCATTCTCCTGCGAGCACCTGGCTGCCCGGAGCCCTTCACAGGCCCCTCCCACCCCCCACCCCGGCCGTACCTGAGCCGATGCGGGCCCGGGACATGGTGGGTGAGTCCAGCTTGTGAGCAGGCACCGTCAGGTAGTTATTGATCTGACGCAGAAGGAGTGCACAGTGAGTGGGGGCGGAGGAGCAGGAGACCCTTCCGGGCAGCACCCTCACCCCTGTGGGGTGTTCTTGCTACCTCCCTGGCAGTTCCTCACTGGACTCTGCCTCTACCTGCCCCTGCACCTTAGACGGTCGGGGCCTCTGGGGGCTCGTCTGGGTTCCCTCGGGGCGCCTGCCTGCCTCTCTCCCACAGGGCACGGGCCTGGGCTCCACCTCCCCCTGACATCTGCCACCACACTCCAGTCCCAGAAAGGTACCGTGAGGGTGGACCCCTAAACCGATGCCCTGCCAGTCCATTCTGATTCAGGGGGACGAGGAGAAAGCCACAGGTCTCTGAGGCTATAACCCTTGTGGCAACACGCCTTATCTCCTCCTACCGCTGAGCTGGCTGCGAGCAGCTGAGTGCTTAACCTGTGTCACCAGGGCTCCTTGGCCGGCCACAAGCATGTCCAATCCAGCACGTTAGCACCGGGCTCTGCTCGTCACGTTCCTCCTCCTTCCACGCCCACCCCCGCCCCCATCAGAAGGCTGGCTGTGACGCGGACGCCGCTCCCCTCAGCCCACCGTCACACTGGTGACCATGTCCTCGGGCCCCACCTCCTCGGCATCCCTTGGATCTCTGCACTCTTCTCCACCCCACTGGGACCACCCTAACCCAGTCCCCCCACCCCCATCATTCCTTTATGACTGCACACCTTAGGTTGCAGCTCAGACTCGGCATCACTCACAAGCTTCCCGGGAACCCCAACCCCTCCGTTTCTAGAATGATCGGTGACCCGGCATTTGTGCACATGCTATTCCTACTGCCTAGTCCTCGGCCTGCCCACACCCGTTTCCTGGGCACCTCCTCCTCAGCTCACCCTGACCCCTGCTCGGGGTGCTCCCGGCCTTGCCCTTTCCTTTTCCTGCCTGGGCCTCTGCACAAGTCCGGAAAGAGGGGCCCAGGCCCCGGGCCACCCTTGTGCTGTGCTGGTGGTGCGGGAAGAGGAAGGAGAGGAGGAAGAGCCAGCCTCCGGCTCTCAGAGTGGGCACCAGCTCGGGCCCGACACACCTTGTGTTCCAGCTGCCGGGCCTTCTGTCTCCGGAGAAGCATCTGGTTCCAGGCCTCCTCATAGGGGTCCGCCACCAGCGTGTGTCTGTTATAGGACCGCAGCTGCGGGGGGAGTGGCCATCAGGGCAGGGACATGGCCGGGCTGGAGCCACCAGGGGCTGGGGGCTCTGGGCACGTTGGGGCAGGTGGGGGCAGGTGCGGGAGAGTGCTGGGGGACAGGGCAAGAAGGGCCAGCTCTGAAGCTGGGCAGCGGGCCAGGGAGCAGGTCCTCACCCTCTGCCTGGTCTTCTGCAAGTTATTCCTCAGGATTTTCCGGATCTCCTCCTCCTTGTCCTTGGACAGTGCTGGCAGGATGCGCTCAGCAGGCAGGGACTTGGGGTGGATGTTCCTAGGACAGCAGGGCACAGGTTTGAGCCCCAAGAAAATTCTTGTGGCCCTGGCTCCAGCTGGGCTAGGAAGAGGTCAGCCTGGGGTGCGGCTGGGGCACTACAACTTGCCCACCGCCAAACAGGGGACAGTGGACCTTGTTCCCGGCATCCGGGGCCACCTCCAGGCTCACCCCGAGGCTGGCTACTCACTGCATGGAGACGGTGGAGACAGCGGAGGGGATCTTGCCCATGCCCCCGCTTTCCACCAGCTCGATGGCCTGCTTCATCTCCATCTTGTGGTAGAAGGCGATGAGCTGGGGCTCCTTCGAGCGTTCGCCGGCGATCAGACACTTCTTCACGTACTTCTTATTAAACCGGTTGAGCCTGGAGGGGCAGGACGTAGATGAGTGGAGCCGGCGCCCAGGCCCCAGGAGACACTGACCTGCCCCTCTCCACCCGCCTGCCCACCAAGGCTGCCACCTACTTGTCCTTCCAGTGGTGGTGGCCGTAGTGGCCACAGATGTCCTCGATGCCTGTCAGAAGGTGGTCCAGGAACTGAAATGGGCCCAGGGCCAGGTCAAGCCTCACCATCGTGGTCCCGCCCACTCTAAACTCCTGCTTTGCTCAGCCCAACCCTGTAGTTCCGGGAGTAGCCAGGAGGTGGCACCCAGACTTTGGAGATGCAGTCTCTTAACGCTGAGCCCTTGCCAGTCCCTTCTTTGGAATAGGTCCCATCAAGAGACAACTCACACCTGGCTTTCCTGTGGCTAGTCCTTGGTGAGCATGAGCCACCTTCACACACACACACACACACCCAGCACTGGTAAGGGCAGAGGGGGATGGCTGAGCCCCACATGCTCCCACTATTTGCTCCCAGCCCCGGCTGCCCCAGCCCGGCCCCAGCACCTGTGTGTGGATCTCCTCATTGATGGAGCGCTTTGTTTCCTGCTTTTTCTTCACAGCCAACAGGTCTACCAGTGGCCGGATGGTCATGCCCTGGGGGGAGGAGGGTGTCAGGCACGCCCAGTCTGATACCCTGGAAAGAGGCCACAGAGCCTCCCACCTCCCCAGAAGCCCTCTGTTCCAGGGTCCCAGTCTCCCGGCACCCAAGGGAGAACTCCCCACCCCTGTTTCAGGGCTCATTAAGGCAGTCAGAGACACGGCAGCCTGTGCAGCAGACGGACCCCACACTGGTCACCCAGCTGGGGCCAGAGGCTCAAGGGCAGGCACCGCACAAACTCGCTCTGTAGCCCCAAGGCTGGTGAAGCCGGGCAGCTCTGAGCAGGGCTGCTGGAAGGACCTAGCAATAACCTAGCTTACCAGTCTTAGCTCTCCGAACCTCCCCGGACCCCCCTGGAAGCCCCTTTCATTGCCCCACTTTGTAGACAGGAAAGCCGAGGGTCGGGAGGCTAGCTTTCCTCAGGACCCACAGGAGGGGTGGAGCCAGAACTCAAACCCAGGCCGGCACCCCAATGCTCCCCTCTGTGGAAACAGGCTTGGAGAACCACTGGCATTTATTATTTCAAAGTCGTGGGGCTCCAAGATGTCTAAAGAAAGCAGGACGGAGGGACACCAGAGGGCACCCTCTCTCCTTTGAAAGGGCAGAAAAGCTCTGCTTCCCGAGACTTCCTCCAGGCTTCCCCACGGAGGGCTCCGCAAGGCTGGCGTCCAGGAAAGATGGGAGGGGCGGTGGGGACAGGGGCAGAGGGCCCGGCGAGATGGGTCAGTTTATGGGTGGGAGTGGGGGTTAATCTGGGTGAAGCCTGGGTCATTTAAATGCACGGAAAACCACAGGCTGGATGGACTCCCGGGGGGTTGGAGCCTCGTCTCCTCACTTCACAGATGTGGCATCAAAGCCTAGAGGTGGCCCCACAGACACAGCCGCAGAATGGGGCTGACTCCGGGTCTCTTCCTGGTCGGTTCAGTACTCCTTCTGTCCCCTGTGCCGTGGGCCACTCCCACCCGACAGACGGACACAGATCCTAAGCGCCAGTCCCTTGCCCAAGGCCACACGGGCTGGTGGAAATGTCCGATCACGGGCAGCTGGCTCTCACCCACGTCTCCTCATTTCCTATGCTCCCAGTTGGCGCTGAGCAGCACTGGGAACTTTACCATCTCACCTGACATTTCTTAGACTCAGGACCGCAATCCCCACTTTACAGGCAGGGAAACTGAGGCCCAGAAAGGGGGAGTGGTGTGCCCGAGGTCCCACAGCCAGTTAGGCTGGAACCCATGGTCCCTTCATGGATCATGCACTTTCTTGTCGGGGGCCCCGGACAAGGCCCCACTCTGTCCTGGACCAGCACCTGCACAAAGACGGTGAAGAAGATGACGGTGATGATGGCTGTGAGGAACAGGTCACACATGGGGAAGTGCTTCTTGTCCAGCAGGTAGCCGAGGGAGAAGGCGATGGCCCCTCGCAGGCCCCCGTAGGCAATGATGAACTGGTCCTTGGGCGTCAGTTTCACGATGCGGAACTTGTTGATGAACCAGGTCAGGCCCAGCACACCTGCACGAAGCAGGGGCCAGGGGTCAAACCCACTGCCACCCAGTTGATGTCGACTCATAATGACCCTGTCCTCAGCCCCTTCCGATTCCGACTGCGGTGCCTCCTCTGCTTGTCCAGGAAGTTTCCAGAACTCAGCCCAGCCCCATTATTCACCACTTCCTGCCCCTCGGCCCAGGGTGCCCCAAACATTTCAATCCAATAACCAGCAATCCTTGAAAGGGCCACTTGGCCAGCAGTCTCAGAGAGCCCTCCAGTGGCCATAGGGGAGGCAGGAGAGAAAACAAGATTGGCCCTGAGTCGGCTCCCGTTAAATGGGAGGCTTCAGAGGACCCTCCTTGTTTCCTATCCTCGCCAATTCTCTGCGCTGGAAATCTCCCGAGGTAGAACGACCTCTGAGGCTGCAGAGGCCTGGGTCCAGCCTCAACCCGCGGAACAGACTTTTGGAGGGTCAGGACCAGGAGTCTCGAGTGTAGCTGATGCCTGGCCAGGCCTGGGGCCCCAGCTGATGCTCTGAAGGCCAGGCGGAGAGCCTGAGAGGAGTGGGCAGGGACGGAGACACTGGGTGGAGCGGTCTGGAGCGCAGGAAGGGAACCCAGGGGGCGAGGCCCGGTCCAGCCTCGACCCCCCTGTGTGGCCTCCTCGGTGGGAGCTGACCCTCGGCAGCGCCACCAGATGCCCTGGGGCCTCAGCATCAGAATCAGTACCCCCCACTCCACCCCTCTCCTTCCCGGGCCCAACTCGAGCTGAGGAACGGGGACGATCCTTCTGAGCAGTTGAGCCACCAGGAGCGCACCCACCCCGCCCCTCGCGGGCCTCACCCAGCACTCGGGCGATGAGGCAGAAGAGCAGGGTGCTGATGACGAAGGTCCAGTTCCAGTGATGGGAGCCCGCCACGGTGGAGACGCCCAGGAAGATGAAGATGAGGGTCTCGCTGACGCTGCTCCACATCTTCAGGAAGTACTTGATGGTCGTGTGGGACTTGTGGGAGATGTTGGCTTCCACATAGGGGCGCATCACCACTCCTGAAGCAATGAGTCTGGGGTTGGGGGAGAGGGTGGCTCAGCGCAGCCAGGCCCCGACGGGAGGCCGATGGTGCCTGGCTCATGCCCTCTGAGGCTCCGGTGCCCACACGTGATCTCCGCTTTGCTCTCGCTCGTGCCTCCTGCCAACCCTGCAGGCTCAGGCAGAGCCTTGCCTTTTCCAGATGGAAGAACCAATCACCGCGAGACACGAACAGATCCACCCAGCTCCGCGGCAGTCTGCCTGCCCGCTCCCCGGCCCATCTCTGCTCAATGGGAGTCGACTGCACACGTCTGCGGTCTCAGGCTCACTCTGGGGGTGAGTTCGACCTCAGCACGTAGGGGGCTCTGAAGGAGCTATGCTGGGGGTCTGTGGTAGCAGCCCCTGAGCCCCCCGACCGGCACCCCTGTGCTCCTCACCCAGCTCTATACTTAGGCACACCCTGAGTACCTTGCGGCCTCTCCAGCCCCGCCCTTACCCTCCATGACCCATGGGACACCTGGCCCTAAAGAAGCCTTGGAAAAAAAAAAAAAAAGAAGCCTCGAGGCCCTCTCCGCCCGCCCCCCACACCCCGGGCTGCACCGTCCCAGGAACGGGACCCACCGCACCCACAGGGGCGGGTGGGGGGAGAGGGCTCTGCTGGGAGCCTTTCCTGATGACCCTGCCCACTGAAATGGCTTCCAAGCAGGACTGAGCACTGGAACTGGAGGCTGGCCCCTGGGGTGGAGGTGGGGGGACTCTCATGACCTTCCAAGCCTGGGCCATCCAGCTGGCAGCTCCCCCAAGTTGGCCCGCAGGACCCAGCACTCACGCCATGATCCCCGACAGGTGGAAGAGTTCGGCTGACAGGTAGGCCATGTAGCTGTAGAGGAAGACGAAGAGCGGCTCGATGACCCGGATGTGGGAGGTGAATCGGGAGGTGAAGGCGGCGACGACCCCGTAGACCACGCCCACAAACACCCCGCCCAGGGCCACCACGAAGAAGCTGAGGAACCCGAGGATGATGTCCACAATGCCGATCTGCTCGTAGTTGGCAAACTCCTCAAAGAGGTGGTACAGGACCTGGCGGGGGGGATGCAGGCGGTCGGGGACAGGGCAGGGACTCGCCCCGGGAGGTCCCTTCCCTGCCACAGGCTGTGGCCCCCAGAGAGGCCACGTGGGAGCAGGGGCACTGGAGTGCTGGGGCAGAGGGTCTGGGCTACGGCGGCAGCTCGCTGTGCTGGGCAGGAGCACAGGCTCGGACGCCCAACTGCTCGGGCTGGAATTCTAGCATGGGACCAGGCCCTCAACCTCCTTGTGCCTCAGTTTCCCATCTGCCAAGCAGGTGGGTGACAGTGCCAACTGCCCAGGGCTCTTGAGAAGGGGAAGTGAGTTAATGAAGGGAGAGTGCTTAGCATGGCACCCGGCACAGAGCAGCTACGACTTTGGACTAACCAGGCCACACTTAGCATGAACTGCCGGAGGCAAGGCCCAGAAGCCTCGAATTAGCACGCTGAGCGGCAGTGGAACTGAGGGGCTCTCCAAAGCCTCGCCCCTCCCTGGCTGGGAAGGAAACAATACTTGTGCCACTGCTGCCATGCGGCTACATGGTACTTAGGGCACAGGGAAGCCCCTTGATGGTGGCTAGCTGAGCTGATACGGGGAAGGGCCCCAGCAGGGGAATATAGACAAACTGGGCCCCAACTTGTCCCAACAATGGCTGGGGTGTCCCCAGCAGACTCAGTTTTGAGGTCCTGCACCCCTCTTGCTGCCTGGCCTGCTCTAAGCCCAGCCCTAGACAGCTCTGTCAGGAAACCAGCCAGGGAGCTACCAGGCTGCAGGATGGGCAGCGGAGAGGCCTTGAGACTCAGAGAGGAAATCTTCGACTCCTAGTACCTGGGCAGCACCTGGAGGCAAGATGAGTATGGCATTGGGGCAGGGCGGCCTAGTCTGGAGCAAAGGCCTGAGACCAGGGAGCTCTGCTGCTGGGGACCAGGGTCCCCACACTGGTGCCAGAGCTAAAGAGGGGCCGGATTTGGGCCAGGCAGGGACTACCACGCAGTGCCCCGGGCCCGGGGCACCTGGGCTCCCGGCCTGAGGCAGTTCAGAGGCCGCACGGCCCACCCCAGAGGCCAGGTGTGTGGACGTGGGGTGTGGGGCCCGCTGCTGCTGGAACCGCAGAGGCTGGCGCTCAGTGGCCAGCACTCCGGCTCTGCGCTCAGACTGAGGATCTGAAGCCCAGCTTGATCATTTATCAACTAGTGTGACCTTGGGAACATAACGTGAGCTCTTGGCGCCTGTTTCCTCTTCGGGAAAACCTGGAGATGAGATGGGGCACCCCCTGGAAGCTCCCGGTCAACCCAGCGGCTATCCTCTCACCACTGCCACCTGTTGGGGGGCACGGCCTAGGAGGCATCACGTGGTTTCACAGGCATGAGTGAGTGCCACTCCTGCAGGAACCCCGGGGAGTGACGGGCTGGTACTTGTGGGGAAACTGAGGCTCCTGTGGTAACCTGAGTAAGGGCTGGTCCTGAAAGAGACCGGGAAGGAGGCCTGCCTGCTCAGGACAGTCCGAGGCTCTACTCACAGGCCCGTGGGGAGCCAGCTCAGGAACAGGAAGCTGGGGTGTCATGGGCGAGGTGTTTCCTCTGGGGTGGGGTTGGGAGGAGGGAGGCTCTGTGTGTGCGTGTGCAAGTGTGGAATGGGCATACACACGTGTTGCTGTGCTAGCCTATGTGTGCAACTGTGCCCTGCGGGGGCCGGCTCTGAGAGGCGTGAGCAGTGTTTTCACAATGCAGCATGAGCATGCACACACGTATCTGTTTCCAGAGGAAGCTGCCGGGGGAGGGGTGTGTGCAGGCGTGCCCAGTGTGTGAGTGCTGCAGGCCCTGCACAGGGCCCTCCGTCCCACTAGGCACTCCGGACTCTGCCACTTGGCATCCCAGACGGCTGGGGCCCAGCAAGCACAGGGCCGGCCCGGCCGGCTCACTCTCCTTGCCGCCTTTGGGGGCAAAGCCCCCTTCTCAACAAGCTCTGCCCCAAAACACTGATCAAACCAAACCAACTGAGGACGAGGCTATGGTGGAATGGCAAGGGTCCGCCCGACGGTTCGACACCGAGGCACAGAGAAGATAAGCATTTGGTCCCGGGCCACGAGCCCAGGCCCGGAGCTCTGCATTCTGACAGGTGAGTGAGTCGCCAGGTCGGCTTCCTCCCCTGCGAGCCCGGGCAGTGGGGACTCGGGGCCAGGCTGGGCACACAGCCCAGGCCCTCACCACGGTGACGGCATCATTGAGCAGGGACTCCCCAAAGACGAGGATGTGCAGCAGCTCGTTGATGTGGATCTCCTCAAAGACGGCCAGCACGGCCACGGGGTCCACGGCCGAGATGATGCTGCCGAAGAGCAGGTTGTCCAGCAGGCCGATGTTGTTGATCTGCTCGCCACCCACCAGGCACACGGCGTACATGAGGCCGCCCAGGAAGAAGGCGTTCCACAGCGTGCCCACCACGGCGAAGATCAGGATGGTGCCCAGGTTCTCGGTGAACTGCCGCAGGGGCAGGAAGTAGCCCGCGTCCAGGATGATGGGCGGCAGCAGGAACAGGAAGAAGATGTCCGACTGCAGGAGGGGGGGCTTCTCGCCCACGCCCTTGATCAGGCCCCCTACCAGCAGGCCCACCACAATCAGCAGGCAGCTCTCTGGGACGATGCTGGAGATGGTGGGGATCACATGGAAACCTGCGGAGGGCGAGAGAACAGGGGGTTTGTGGCTCGCGGGGCAGCAGGGCCGGCGGGGAGGGCAGTGTCTGGTGCGGGCTCGGTCTTGGGGGGCCCAGTTGCTCGGCTTATGCTGAGCCTCCACTTGCTCCCCTGTAAGACGGAGGTGACAATGCCAGTTCACAGGGTTGCTCTCTAAACTAAGTGACAGTGATTTCAAGGGCTCTTTTCAGAGGCGATACACCCACTATCTCAAGGTCACTATCACACTGGAGGGGAGAGGGAGAAGAGCATGCTAGGACCCCATGTACCAAGGGGGCAACCCACATCCTCCTCCCAGACCCAAGTTCTGGGACGCAGCTTTCAGCCTCAATAAGAAAACTCCATTCCCAAACGGGGTTTCATCAACAATTATAGGGGTTAGAATGTATAATATATATTTGGGGGTGGACACAATTCAATCCCTAACATCCAAACTTTGCCCCCCCCCACAAGTCAAAGCCTTTCCCCGGGCAAATATATTCATAGGGTTCACTCCAAAAGTCTTAAATCAACTCCAAGTCCAAAATCTTATCTTCGGAATCACAGAAAGCAAGGGTTCCCGAGTGGGTGGCACTGCCCCCTGGAGGGTTTCGAAGGAGGTAACCTACACTGTTATCCAGGAGGATGGGCCAAAGCACAAGTTTTTAATTGTGTGAAGGGGGGACCTATATGTCATGGGAAGATGGGTAAGACTTTGGACGGAGGCCATCCTGGGATACAACTTCCTCTCCATCCGCGAACCTGTGGCGCATAGAACACACGTTAACAACTCCCAGTGCACAACGGCAGGGCCAACAGAAGGCAGCCATGTCCACCTGAAACAGGAGAAAGCAGGGGAAAGATGGGTTCATGGGCACCAAGCACATTCAAAACCCAGCAGAACACATTTCAAAAGCTCTCGAGGCTGAAAAAACGAATCCTCTCCTCTCAGGGACCACCCAGCTGGCCACTGTCCCCAGCCTCCGCGTGCTGGCCATGCTTCAGGGCCTGGTGGCGGCGCCAGGCCCTGGGACTCAGCCCCACCTTCCAGGCCCACTGGGACAGTGACTCTGCTCCCTTGGCTTTGGGCCACTCTCCATCTGAGTGACGACCCCACGCCCTGGGTGGCTTAGTCCTCCTGGTCCTTAGGCATGTTGGCCACACGCAACACTGGGCACTGGGCCCCACTCTGCTGGCCCTCGGTTGCAGCAGCCCCATCTCCCCATCTCTGGGAGTCAGCCTGCCCTCTCGGTTCCCCTGATGAGCCACTCCACACTGCAGAACTGAGGTGGTAAAACCCCGATTATGAAACCGAGGGGTGTGATTTGCACCCTGCTTTGAAAAGAAGGCACTGGCTCCTCTTTTGCAATAGCAGCAGCCCGCCCGCTGGCCCGCCCACAGGCTTGCTGATTTCTGAGCTGTCCCTTGGACGGTTCCTTCCTTTTCCTCGAGGACTGCAGATGTTTGCAGCCGAGCCACTCCACTGACCCTTTCCTGCCTGATGGCTTGTCTCCACTCCGCACGGTGCGGTCTCTGCCCCTTCCTGCTGCAGCGGTCACGCCGATCCGGACAGGCTTCTTCAGCTCCTGAATAAAAGACGGCGTCTCCGCCTCCTTAGTGAAGAGCCCTATTAGTTTGCACCATAGAAGCTTCCAAATCTTCAAGTACTGCCTTAATTTTGCAGTTAAACTTTAAGTCCATCTCTTTCCTTTCAAATTCAATTGTAAGTGGCAAGGAGGAACCCTTAGCAATCCCGGCCAAATATCCAGGCTTATCATCCACAGGTTCTACCTTCCACCAAGTAGCTGACCCTCATTCAGACAAGTTCTTTGTCACTGCATAAAAAGTATCACCTCCGCTCGGCCCCCATACCAGCTATGTGGACAACTGCCCCTCCCCCCAGGAGAATCTATTTGAGAGGACGGCACTGAAGCTGCAGCTAGGGGAGAGGGGCATGTCTGATCAGAGCAAATGGGAGCATTTAGGGGGAGGAAGAGAGAGTGGAGCACATCCTGACCCACCAGGCCT